TTCATTTATGAAAAACAAATTAGTCTTTATTGAATGAGAAATATAATGAAATTTCAATAACAGAAGTTAATTATTAATCAACAGACTAGTGAATAATAATATTTCCAAATATAATTCGTCTTACATTTACCCTAAGATTAAACGATTCCCTAAAAAATTAATCATTTCCGTACTTTATATAACTCGAAAGGTGAATAAACTCATTTTTCGATAATCATTTTCGTCTTCATTATTTATTTCATTACGCAGAAGTACGTAATTTATCGTTTCAACCCCAACATCAGCTTGTCACGTCGACAAATTTTTTTTTAGAAATTAATAGAAGAGTTAAATCATTACACAGCAAAAATTGAATAAATTTATATCTTTTTGTCTGACAGAGCGATTGCAATTCAGCATAATTGTATTATTATTAATTCAGTGTCTCAAAAAAAAAAATATATATATATATACTTAACACAGCAACATTGGGTATTTAATAGCTATTTTAGAATCATCAAACCTGACACAAGAAATAAAAACCTTTTGAATTTCAGCAAAGATAGTACATTTGAATATTAGTAATGTTTCCCTATTCTAATGTACAGTGGAACCATTCAACATCTAGGATCTAAACTCTAAAATGTATAAGTAACGAAAGCAGTCTACAAGATGATGTTCTATAAACTAACTGTATGCTATATAATCTCGGTCGATGACCTTTTTTATCATTTGTATTTTGAATTTGTGTATTTTCCTAAATATACACTTAGGAATGTTATCTAACACACTTTGAAGAATAAGCATAAAAGTTGGAGAAAAAAATACTGATGATTGTTTGCCAATGTTATTTGAATGTGTTATAGCAACTATAACATCTTAGAAAAAAAAACTATCCAAGTGAACAATTGATGTGGGTGTGAAAAATGGTGTTCGTTGAACCGATGAGTCAGATTTAAAGGTCGGGAACAAACGTGAGTTCTGACAGTACATATTATATTAACAGTCCGTTCTCCTAGTCTCTGCGTGTTACGATAGTAACATTATACGCGACAACCCAAGTATAACTGTATAGCCATGTAGCAAACGGTTAATGACCCCGGGCCACAGCCGAAAACTGGCAGACAATCAGACTCGCGATAAGCTACATGATGGTTTCAGTTGACAAGCGACTAAACTAAACATACTACGTTTATGATGGTGATGATCGCTTATTGATTTTTTGTTTGTCTAACGAATCGTTAGTCGAATGTTATCAGAAAGAAATGGCTAGGCTTGTGCGTCTTCCGGTTGCCAGAATGTATATGATATGACCTAGATCGAATTTTGAGGTGATTGCCCGCCAATCCAAATATGTTGTATTATAGACCTTTTCTTTCTTCTTCTTCTGCTATACTCATACCACTTAAATTGATCTTCTATTATTCATAATTCCCATCCATTGGACTCTTCAATCGTCAACTATCATTCATCAACAACTTTTCCAGTCTGCAGTCTTCTAATGACTTTATTTATTATTGATGTTATGATTGTTTATTGATTAGCTTTTCATTAGTTTGCTTTTTCTTTACTTTCTCATCATTGCCTATGATTTAGAAAATTTTTTTAGCATATATTCTACTAAAATTATGATAATAATGATAATTGAACATTAAATAATGTGGAAAAATAAAATAATGAGTGTTTATTAAGTCTTTAATTGTATCAAAAACATTTGTTAAAGAAACTACTTAATAATCTATGAAATAACTTATTTGTGAAGAAATAATATTATTTTATATTTCAAAAAAAATATTTATTCAATTGCTTGTTCTAATTTTTGTCATTCATGAGAATAAGTATTAATTGTAAGTCTATTACTTTCTTCAAATAAAATTATTCTTAGAATCTTCTTATCATAAAAAAAAAAGTTTGTCTTCAAGAGGACCAATAATAATATTAATTTTTATTGTTGGAAATTTAATTTAAATACAGTGAATACACAATTCACGGTTAAAGAATGAATAAATGGATAAATTTAAAAGTCTGCACATGTATGCTTAACTTTTCTATCGGTCGATATGAGTTGTTCACCAAACATCAGGTCATTGACAGTAACATTAGGGCCTAGCCTTAGATAACTGTAATCTTCCGAAAACTATCGTGACAAGAGTGAAGAACCTCTAGTATATACTTTTGGAATACTATTAGACACCCATAGTTATTCGAATAGCAGAAAGTGTCATTCATCTAAGTCACGTTTTTACATAACATAGCGGTAATCATTAATTTTATGCCACATATTCAACGACTTTTTATGTATTTCCTTATTTTTTACATTTGAATAAATCGATTAGTTTATTCCAACTATCAAAACTATCCAATTATTATAATAAATATATCGTATAAAACTTGATGATACTAATGAGTTAATAATTTGCATTATTCTTTACAAGCCCCAGAGGATTGTAAAAATTAATTTCAGTGACATGTTGCTTACAAAGTCATTTTTAATTGTGTACAGAGAAAAGCTCTTGGAATAATTTACAGTAGAATATCCGTTTTAAACGGATAAAAAAGGATTTGTATCCTTTATCCACTCTTTTACATTTACATAAGCTACAACTGCTAGGAAGACTTGATTTTTTCTACGGATTTTAAGCTTTATGAATAATAATTTATTTACCTTTGAGATTAAATTATAATTGACAATTTTTTTTATTTATCATTTGACATTAAAAAATAACCAGAACAATTTTTTTTTTAAACTCGAGTATTTTAAGGTAAATTTCCTATATGAGTTTATATTGTGACTTATTATAAAATCTAATCATTAATATTACCATCCAATTGTCCAAAAATAAAAAAAAATCAGTAAATCATTTTTCCAACAAAAACGACTAAATCAAAGAATTTTTTTATGTCATCATTTTCATAGGCATTGATATTTTCCACAATTGAAAATATGATTTGACCATCTTGCATTGGCTGGCCACACACAGTAGCATGATTTATTAAATAATTTCAAAGAATTGAATATTTATTCAAGAAAAACCCTTCATATGCAACAGAAGCATCAAAACAGATGTTTGATATTGAATGAAAACTAGGTCTCCTGTACTCTATATCATATGACAATAACACTCAAGGTGTAATTTCCTTCATGAAACACATCAATACAACGTAATGAAAAGAAATATTAAACATATTGCTCCCACGATCTACATCCCTATCAAATTCGATCTCCAATCGCGAATTAATAAAAAAATCTAACGGTTTGGATATCAAGTGACCGCCATTTTACCGCTAGGCTTGTAAAGTACTCTCAAATTTATCCATGTATTTTTTCCACCCCCTCGTTCGTCTCTACATCTCTCTCTTGCTCAGAAGAGTACAGTTGAAGCTGCATTGTCAAGTCGAAGGGCTCATTGTCGACAAGCACGAATCGGCTAGGCATTGTTGAAGAGGGACTCTTTATTCCAAGCAGGTAGCTTCCTCAAGACTAGTGCCTATATATTCCTTACTACTAATATATGTATATGCCTAGTACTTTGCTACCTATATACCTGTTATATGTATTATATAGCACATACCGTCTTCCTATCGTGTTTATCGATTACCAACCAATCGATTTATTGAGGCTCGTAGTCAATAGTTCTATCACAGATGTGTGCATATTTTAAATATCTTTCCTTCATATCCAACGTCTGGGATACATTTTCTGCATCGTATTTCTTCCTAATGATTTTAATTCTTCCTAATAATAGATCTATGCATTATTAAAAATGAGCTTTATTTTACGACTGTAGTTTTTTTTGCCTAACAATAATTTTATTACACTGTAAATCCAAGTGTTGAGAAACTAAACATTTAAAATGTTTATAATTTTAAACACCAGAAATGAACTACAATAATTTTGTACACAAATTTTAAACGTTTTTTGCCGTTTACCAAAATACTATAGTTTATTTATGATGTTCAATATTATCAATACTCAAGTGTTTAATTATTAATTACTTTAAGTGTTTTATTACTGAACACTTGAATTTTTTTGGATTTGCAGTGTACTAATTTAGCAAGGGGTATTTTATTAATACCTTTGTTATGTAAAGTAATGATAATTATTTACTGTAATTTAACTTTTGAAGAGGATAAGTATTTATTTAATAATAATATAAAATCGTCAAAAGAATTTAATTTAATTGGTGATATGTTTATTTGATTGATATTTTTCAGTGCATTACGATAAAATTAAATATTAGTTAATAAAAAAAAAGAAATTAATAAACACAGTAATCATCGTAACGGATATTAATTAAATAGAATTGATGATAAAATAAATTAATTAACGTAATTACTTTGAAGTACTCTAATAAATATATATAAATTAATATATTATTTTAACTAATTTTTAAGCAATATATCAAAATGATTTACGTTTATCCCAATGTTGACTTTATGGTAAAATAAAATCAAGTTTTAATAAAAATAAAATGATATTTTTATCATCTCAAATAAAACCCTTGATATCTTGAGTAAATTTTCGAAGAAAAGTGATATTATGAATGAAACTATCACCCTCTTGGTTATGGTGTATCGTAGATTCTCCGTAAGCTACTCCCCTATTTCTCCAAGCCGAGCTTTTCATTCAAGTTGTTCTCCCCTACTTTCAAGAGCTTCCTTCCCAAATGACATTCTTTCAAATCCTTGTATCTCACTCCCTTTCTTCTTTCTTACATCTATCGAACAAAGTGAAGACAATAACAGACAAAGGGATGAAGGGAAAAACCTACCCCAATAAGAGCATATATATTCTTGGTAACTCGGCATCTCTTTTTAATTTTCACCCTGTTGGCATGTCTCCAAGGCTTTTCCATTCTTCCTCTCACTCTTTTTTACTTTCCCCTTCTCCTCTATTTCACTCCCACCCTTAAATCATTCTTTCTCTCTCTCTCCGACAAACTCCCTCCGATCGAGGGGAAAATATAATGGTGGGGCTGTGTGGTCTTGCGCGGCACACAGTCAACCTAGAGCTACGGCCGTGTAAGAATCATATCTCAGAGCGGTGTCACCATCAGGCCGAATCTTGTTATCAATTACAGATTTACCGACGCACACAACTCAAACAATTGTCACGCGCTTAAATCATTTTGAAATGACGATAATAATAACAACAAACAAGTTGTACCTTTAACACTTGTGGGGGGAGTGCGTTTATGCGTACGACTGATAGTTAAAATAGAAAGAGAGTGAGGGAAAGAAAAAGGAATAGGGGACAGAGTACGATTGCGCGCGCGGATCCAGTACTCAGATAATAAATGAATCCCGCGCGGTGAATAGACGCGAATGAGCGGGAGTTCAGAACAGACCGTTCCGAGTGTACGAAACGGTGAGTTTGGTTGTTGTACCTGAACTTAGTGGATTTTTAACTCAAATTAATCACCATTATATTAGTTGATTAAATAATTATATCTGTCTGTTGATCAATTGATAGTTAAATTAAAGAAAGTGTTTGAATTTTTTTTATTCAGAATTTATTCAAAGTTTATTTTAGTTGGAATTATTATCAGAAGTCATGTGATTAATGTTCACTTAACTTTATTGAACTATATAAACATATATTATGATATTGAAATAAAGATTTTAATTAGTTGATGAATAAAAGTCAATTTTTATATGAAATTACCAAGCCATTTGAGTGAAAAAATATTCAAGGATTAGAGGTGTAATAATTATATATATCATATAAAACAAATTATAGCCTACATCTTTATATGCGTGTGTGTATATAGATTTGAAATACTTGGGGATCGATAAGTGATAGTGAAACCGAAAGGGTGATCGGTACAAAGTTCTCCTAAGCAATGATCATCAACAACAGGATTAATCTGTGATTATTAAGTGTGTTCTATTGTGTTTTCATTTTTTTTCTCAAACATATCTATCTACGTAACATTTAAGTGAATATCATACTAGTGTTTTTTTTTTTATTCACTACACACGTATATCTCGAAATACAAATACGTATCAAGTGAGTCGTTTGCAAAAGAACCAACGTCCGTAATTGGTGACTTTTTGAAATATTATATAATGGTTATTATCACTATTATTATTATTATTAATTAAATGCATATTTAATTTCTCATTCTTTTTTCAATAATTTCGCTCATCGTTTCTTAAACAGAAGTTTCCACTTGTCAAATATGCCAGAAGGAGTTTAAACTCTTGTATCTACATACAGACACTTGCTTCATCATCATCTTTCTTCTTCCCGCCTTTCTCCTTCTTACTCTTATTCGGACAGTCTAGTTATGGATATTATTAAGTAATTTACGACGAGCACGCACACGCTTTACAAACATAAACCTACGCGTATATTGCGCACGCCTCCCGCGTGTATATATCAGAAGATATAAAATGCACGTGAGTGCGAAAAATTATTACAGGTTCTCATTTTTATTGGAGGAAATAGAAAATTCAATAGCGAATAAATATTCTAACATTTCTTCTTCTATTTTCTCTATCTTCCTTGGTTGTCTATTTGAGCTTTTAACTACTAATGTCAATGATGTATTTAACAATTAAACATTTAATTATAAATAGACGTAATATCTAGTGGGAGGTACTTGTCTTTCTTGGTGGTGTGTGTGATGATAATAATAATAATATTTAGTATGAATCGATTTACGATCAGAATCTAAAGCCTCTTGGGGTTAATAGGGACAGGGAATAAGAACAAGTAGCTAAGGAGATATATAGTGAACCTAAAAAAGGGAACAGTTTGATAAAATACTTGGCTCTAGCCGGCTAGAGTCAGTACAGCGTCGCGAAGCCGGCTCTATACTTCCGTGGCGTCGGTGGCCGCCTCGTTGGATCTACAACAGCCAGCAAGACTACGTGTACACGACCTAAATAAGATGCGATGCCCCCGCGGCGAAAATAATTCATGCGATGAGTCCCTGCGATGCGCTAAGCAATGCAATGCTTCCGCGCCTTTGAGCTTTTTTCCCAAAATTTTTTTCATTTTTTTTACTAAATTATATTTTTTCTCGGGCCTTCATGTCTTTCAATTCTCAATCAACTCAATGTTTAAAATATACTTTTTTTCTCGTCTCCTAATTATATTGATTGTGCAACTATTTTTTTAACTGTAAAGAAATTTCTTATTTAAGATTTTAAAATTCTGTGAAATTTTTTTTCCCCAACTACTCGAAAAATATTTCGAAAGCTTTCATAAAAATATATCTTACCGAAGTAAAAAAAGTTTCTTAAAACAAAAGTAATATTTCAAATCGTTGTATAATGGAGTGAAAAAAAAAATTCAAAATTTAAATCCCAATGATAATCGGAGAATTATGATAAAAAAATTTATTTACGATAAGTGACTGTTCTAAATGTTTAATCACCTAAAAGTATTATCAAATAGATAAAAGAAAATACAAGCTGTTAAATTAGCAATAAAATGAATGTCTTTCTAATATGCACATGTGAATAAATAAAAGCGAGGATGAGTACAGAGTATATAACATATAAACGTGCGCGTGAGTGAAACGGTAACCGGAGTGAATTGCATACACCGATGAGTTAAAGTGGGTCGCGCGAGCGCCTAGGATCGAGCTTTAAAGGTCCCGATAGTCCACGTGGCTCTCAGTGAGTGTATGCGAAGAGTGAGGAAACAGGAGCGCGCCGGACCCTACTCGTATACCACCCTCAACTCGTCCTGGATTCGCGTTGGTTTCACTTTCCACGGAGCATGCCACGACCGACTTTACTGCTCCTGCTCTATTTCTTGTCCCTCCAACTGTACTGCAGTTAACTGATAAGAGTCTACTTGTTCGTGATCACAACTTTAATACATCACCATTACGACCAACATACGTCTTAAAATTATCTTTCAAACATTTTACCACTGCCAATAAATATTCGTCTGGCCAACAACGACTTTCACTACTCGGTATCTCGTTAAATAATTAATTAATCAACAAAATTACATCGCAAAGTATTTTTTTCTGAATTACTGAGTTACATGAAAACTCGAGATTGCTTTGAAAGTAAAACAGTACATGTACAGATATGTATATTTCTGTACACAAATACTAATTCACCGGTAAATGTATCCTCCATGTTGTTGGAGTGCACACGCAAATGCACATATACATTTTGATATAGTTGGCAACGATCACAGTGTGAGTTCTACCCTGAAGTGGATCGTAGTAGTTGGCAAAAGCTTCAAGAAGAGGTAGACTCGTTAGGTGGTCGCGCGTGAGCTTCGCTCGATAGCAAAGTGTGCTTTTCCGACAAGCTTTCGAGCTGGTACGGAGCTTTAGTAAACCTTAAAGGGGAACTCTTCAACTTGCCAAGAAACTTAACAATTTTTACCTCACACAGATACCCATTATTCTATCTTTCGTTTATTCGATTTATTTAATCGTCAGCATCTACTCACCTTAACTCGTGGAATATTACAGCAGAAGCGTCTGAATTGCCTGAGGGTAGTTGTTCCACTTTTACAGGTGCTGCGCTATCCATAAATGTTGAATTAGAAGATGATTTTATGCCTAGAAGTGTATGAAGAAATCATTTTCAATCACGATTAAAAAAACATTAAAGTTTTATATTTCAATGATTATCTATTTTATTAATAATTAGATTAGTAATTACTGTTGTTAACATACTTAGATATAAATAATGATTTTGTTTTAAAAGATTTATAGCTTTTTCAATTATTTCAAGATTTTTATAGTTAAAACTATGAGAAAGATCGTTTTGAATATTCCTCATTAAATAAAAACTGTTATAAAAAATTTCAAATAATTCAAATAATTAAATAACAATCAACTATAAACTGTAATTATTGAGTTTTTAATGTTTCATTTAAAATGATGGAACAAGTGAATAAAAATAATTATTTTTATTAATTGAAATCCTTTCGTGATAGAATAGATAGAAATTAAAAACAATTCATCGAATAATTTTTTTTAATTAAAAATAACACAAAAGCCCTTTTGTTAAGCTGGAAATGAAATTTTCGAAAGTACAAAAAACAAAATTATTAAAAATGTAATTAAAAAAAAAATAAAGAGAAACGGAGCGAAATGATGAAAAAAGAAGAGAAAAAATAGTGAATCCTAAGAAATCAATGAAATTTACAAATTAAATTTTCAGGTGTTAAATAATCAGGATGATACGATCGATAATAATTACACTACGGGCAAGATTAAAAGACGAGTGACCAAAATTAGTGACAATTAAATATAATTGGATTATATAACAGTGAAAAAAAGTAAATAAAATAAAAAATAGCGGCGCTATACGCCGCCATTGTGATATGTGACAGATGAGTTTGACCATAGTTCATTAAAAGCCAGGAATATTTCGTATATGTACTCGCGCGCGAAATTCATTCTGGAGCACGAAGACAAGCACGGTCACCACGGCGTTCAACATGTTCGAGATGTGGAGCGCGGTGAGTTCCAAGTTGGAACACTCCGCGACCTCCTCGGGTTCGCCGCTACCCCTAACGTCACATACACCCCAGACGCCTCATACGTCTTCAGGCAGCATAAAAGGTAAAAATCGAGATCAATTCCAGTCGTTACAATTTTTATTTCCTCAATTAACTACTATTTTATTATTTATTTATGTAAAAAGCACCATTATTTAATTTTACTAAATATCATTTATAGAGAATCCAAATTATTTTTATGATGAAGAAAAAACAAAAAATAACTTTGACTCCACTGCTGGGATTGTGAAACTTCGATCACGAACTGATGCTTATATACGAATTTATATAGTATCAATGAACTCTTTCGTCCATATACTTTCACCGATAAAAAAGAACAGACCATATTATATTATCGTTTAATAATAAGATATAATCTTTATACAAGGGTTTTGTGTAGCTGTTCTGAATGGTATTTTGACAATGACAACGAAGACAGCTTAATTATTGGGCTCTTGATAACATCGTCTGAGAATTAAAAAGATTCGATAGAAGAATAAAATGTTTCCATTTTGTAAAGAAAACAAAATACTCCAAAAAGAAGTTTATTCTTTAAATGGAAAATTATTTCAGCATGAAGTTATTGTTATAAACAATTGAAGAGTTTTGGGATTCTAAGATTAATAGAAATACTTGTTAGTTTATGATTAGATTTTACTTGATGAGTTTGAAAAATTTTCGGAAATGAACATAAAATAATTACACTTGTCTGAATATGTTGTAAATCAGTGGAGATAATATTTCTAGATAATTGTTTTATTGATCTATTTGGAGAAAAGTAGGCAACAACTATTACAAAATAAACATTTAGTAATTTTGAAAAAAAAAAATCAAGTTTATGATAAAAAAAAAACTCATTTTCTTGTTCTATTTTAATATCAATTGAATGCAATCAAAATTTGATTATTTATTCATTTCCCGAGCAATAATAAAACTCATATAAGATAAATGATAAAAGTAGAAATTTCCTAGAAAAAAATTACAAAAATATGCCATAGGCGATGCTTCTGGCTAATGAAAATGTATTTTTTATAGCTACAGATTGAGTGTATGATATATATTTTGCATGGTAACGGAGGGTTTCGTCATCAGACTAGCTCGTTTGCTCGTGCTTATATCAGAGAAAAGTCGTATGCGTTTTGCAAGTCAGCTACTTTCGAATGCCATTTTGGCAGCCTCGAAGCTGTTGGAGCTAGCCCTCAAACCATAAGAGACTTGTTTATATATCTCACTATCATAAAAATCGTAATAAAAAAAAAGAGTAATAAAGTTAACATAAAAAAAAATTATTTTTATGCAAATACGAGAATAATCTAGGACGGTTTATTTGTTTTCCTCTTTTTACTATTATCAAATATTGAGCTAATTAATTCTCTATTTCAATTAAGACTAATTAAATTATAATTTTTCCAATTTCCCCAATTGACATATAGAAAATATTTCCGGCTACTATTCTCATTAAATATCTTTTACTAACGTCTATTTATTTAGTTCAATAAAATAAGTTAAAAACAATTTAACGAATTGGAGCAATCTAGAATCCAAAGATGCTCTAAATATTTTTGAATTTTTTGTGAGATTAATTTTATTGAGAAGTTAATAAAAAAGAAAAAAAAATTGAAACACATCATCTAAAGTCGTCTTATGAATATAAATTCAGTACAATTACATTTTCAATAGCTGTCGTGAATGAATGGATTTTTAAAATATAGGGTAGATGTATCGTTTGTAGACACTTCAAGGATTTCAGCGACATACACTAAAGTATAACTTGAAACTAGCCCTCCAAGTATTGTTGATCAATTTTTTATTCCCTTGTCTCATGTCTTCGAAAAAAATAACTCTATCAATAACTTTATTTACACCAACTCTATTTCAATCACATTATAATAAATAAAAAATTATTTCATACTTTTAATGATGAAAGAAAAAATGATTCAAACTACTCCCAAACTGATAAGGAACTTGAAAAAACAAAAATCTATTTTTTGATTAAACCTAAACATAGCAGGGTCACCCACCCTATTGAATTTATTATCAACATCAATTTACATTAGAATAATTACTTATTAATTATTCCAAACTTTTATTTTTAATTTAATACAACGAATATTTATTTAACATTTTTTTTTTGTCAAATAAATAAGCATAAAAAACTTTTTTTGAAACACTTTATAAATGCTTAATTCCGCTTAATATCCCATCATGTCCCTGGTTCCTTTTTTCTGTGAAACTTTCAAAGCGTTGGTGTAGTGTGACATTTCGCAGAACGCTTCATCGTTCACCAGTATTTACCCAAGAGAAGTTTGGCACTGAAAAGGGTGTAATGAAAGCAGGTGACGAAGAAATGAGAAGAGATGTACATGAATGTAAAGCCAAAGAGCCGCGAAGGCATAGAGAAGAAAAGAGAGGCAAATATGACGTTAAAAGGGGGGTTTGATAAGACTGTACATGAAGTACATAAGGGAAGAAGTGCAGTGAGGGGTTGAGAAGAGCAAGAAAGAGAAACATAGGCGTAGGTTACATTGGATCGATAGTTACGGCTGTGCAACTGTGAGGTTTGTGTCGTCGAGACATTCAATACATTCGCACGTGCACTCTTTGTGCATCGTCTGAAACGCGCGGTTCTGAAAGAAAAAAGTTACGGCCCAGTCGCTCGATTGGCCGACATGGAAACAGCTCCACTACACCCTCTCTTCAGTTCTTTTTCTCTCTCTTCTTCTCCTCGTTCTCTTCTCTTACAACCTACCTACCTACTTTTGCCGCGAGAGCATAGAAGTAAAGCTCCTCTCTCTTTCTCTTATAGTACTAGCGAAAAATCTGCCTCCATTGAAAGCTCTCACGTATCAATAATATATTTCGAGCTTTTTTTTTTTTAAAAAAATTTTAGGTTGTTTATAAAGGATTTTCTTTTTAGACTTTTTAAACTTTTTATATCCCACGAACTCTTTTGATTTTTACTAAAAATATTTTAAAAATTTTTTTTATATAACTTTCCCACCTGCCATCCATCTAGCTGCGTCTTAAATTAAAATGCTTTTATACTTTTAAAACCAACATTCAAAATCAGAAGCTTTTTTTTTTTGTATAGTTTTGGAGTATAGATTTTTCGATAAATTAAAAGTAATAAAGTATATCGAGTAAAATTGTATTGATATGAATGTTAGATAGATTTGAAAACTTAGGGGAATGCAAGCGAGAAGAGGGAGTGGCTGCAGGGGGAAAACACTCATGGGAATACGTAGTTGACGACGTTGTCTCGAGTATCGATTGAACATTGTGTTATAGCCTAACTCGCCCACACACCATCAGGCTCACAACATTACTAAAGACTCTACGTGATACTATGATGGACGAGAAGTGGAAACTCGTGTGGAAATTCGTTCATTGCTTTGTTTCATATTCGAAACTATTATGAAACTTTTGCTTTAACAGTATAATGAAAAAAGATATGTGATTTTCCTATCTTTACATTCATCATTTAACTTGCAGCTGTGTTAATAGAAACTTGCAATTAAGGAAAAAAAGCACGCGAGGAATACACTCTTTTATTTCATTCCTAAACAAGACATCAACTTTTCAGATTTTTTGAAATAAACTTTATCATATTGAGTATTCAATAATTTTTATTAAAATATGTAATGAGTATTTTATTTTTATTAAAAATTTAATGAAATAACCAATCTTTTATTGTTAAGAGAATAAAAAATTAAATTTTAATTTTCCACCAAATACATCATAAAGAGTTTTATGAATAGATGAAAAAAAGTGATTTCTTTTGTGGTATTTTTTTATTTAAAAAATAGAATACAAATAACGAGAAAAGACAAAAGCTCTTTTTATTTCTCCCTTTAAAATGCCTCATTGCTTAAGAATTCTTTATTCCAATTGCTCATTTTCATCGTAGCGGCTGCTTTCTTCCCACAAATATATATATCTATATATCTACACAGACATGAAATATTCTAGACGATTTGCTGCAGTATGCGTAGATACATATGCCTCATAGCTTGAATGCTCCTATCCTATAGAGGAGCTTCAGCACGAATCGATGCTCGTGAAAGAGATGGAAAATAAAAAATTGAAGATTGAAAAAAACTAGGAAAGCAAGAGCTATACTTGGATAATTTTTTTTTAAAGAAAAAAGTTAGTGGGTGGACCATTTTCTAAAGTTGTAAAGATATAGATGGAGACTGCGTGCTTGCAAATAGACGATTGTTGAGTGAATTCTTAAAGTGAGATATGTCGATATCTCGAAGGTCTTTTCAGTTTGTGAGAGACTCGTATATAGTTGAAATTCCAATTCGAAGAATTCTGAAGCCACAAAACACCTCGAGGGATTCCCGTTAGCAGTGCACCTCATAATACCATATGAGAGAACGATAAATATTTTACACTACTTTTCAAAATCAATTTAATATTCTTTTCTATCACATGATTTTTATCATCAACTCATAGCAATAATAACCATATTACTCTTGAGAAATTATTTTAAAATGATACATCACAACTTCTAAGAATATTTAGTAAATTACTAACAAGTAACTTTTATTAATATTTAATTTTAACAGGAACAAAAAAGCTACATTTGAAATATTAGAATTTGGTGCTAAGAAGGAAGTTATAATTCATAAACAACAACTGATTTCTTTCGCAAGCTCATATGTCATTTCTTTCTACCCTTTCATTTTTTCAAGCTAAAACATTTTTTGTGAAATTAAAATATTTTTTCCCCACAAAAATCGTTTAAAAGCTCCGAAAAAAGTATCGGCTTTCTTTAAATATTCAATTTCAACAGAAAAATAAATTGATGACAGCCTGAATTTTATTTCTCGATAAAAATAATATTTATTAATTACCAAGAAATAGAATCGACTATCGAAGATTTTCGTGAGAGTAGAATGGATAGTTTAATATGAAATTTCCATTGAAGAGTAAAATCTGAACTGATTTGAATATTTTATAGAATAAATGATAGAGGTTTCCCCACGGTTGATGCTTGATCTATCGATTAAAAATGTAGGCCGCTAGCCTCGAGTAAGACACTCTTGGCTCATTACCACT